AATATACTCATTCACTTGGGAAAATATCTCATTTACCTACTAAAATGAAGGTTAAATACACTTAATTTAAGCCATTTTTACTTATTTCTACATCATTTTTCCAGTGCACCACTGTTTATCTATAACTCTAAAGTCCAGGTGAGGAAAAGTAATTGCTCAAAGTGAGAAATCAAATATTAAAGCAAAGCGACAGTCGCTGTAAGGCCACGTCTCCTGCAGCAAAACCTTTGCATAAATAAAAGGGGTTGGAGAAGAAAAAAAGCAAGTGAAAATCAATAATGGGAGAGTAGTTACAGCTGGGTGTCAACAGATTTGACGCTCCCTCTCCCCGCATCTCACACCCCGCTGTGAACGATGATGCCTAATATACAGCGTGACCTTCAAAATGTCATAAAAGTGTTGTGCAATAAAGTGTCAATATTTGTGGTTATATGGAGCACAATGACTTTTACAGTAATTGGAACGGCCGCGTTAAAGCTACGGATCAGTCGACTGATTAAAGACGCCGCGCACTGGACGGGCCGGCTTACTGCCCAGGAATGATGGGCGTTCACAGGGGGGGGGGCGTGCACATCAACCAACTTGGCGTGCACGTGAGGTTGCGTTGCGTGCACTCCTTTAGGGCCGTCGTGTGCACGGGTGCGCGTGCGAGGGTGTGTGGTTATGTGTGAAGCTCATTTATTATTGAAGGGCTGTTATATGCCAGGAGAGCACACTCTCATCCTCTCAGTAGTGTGTCTTCCTCTTACAGGAGCACTATTAACCCTGACACACAAGGACATGCTTGTCTGTGTGTCTGTGACAGAAGCAGAGAGGGATGCACGGCCGCGCGTGCCTCTGCGTGTGTGTGCGCTCCTGCTTCTAATCTGTGTTTTGGATTTTTTAATTTTAAACCCCATCTGGGATGGGCAGGTGGGCCAGTGTCTGTTACATGATGCTGGGAACTGTTGCCAAAAAGGGATCTGTACAGTAGACCACTCAAAATATGTTTCTGAGAGGCGTCTATGGCTACAGTATGGTGGAGTCCTGGACTCAGCACTGGGGGAATTGTGTTTGTCTTTATTTCATTATTTTTCACTTACAGCCGTGGCTCTGCATGTGTCTAATGGAAATGCCAAGTAATAGAGGAGCGTTCTGGAAATATGGTCTTATTTTAAATAATTCTACGTTTTGCAATGCAATTTATGTGACATGCAACTAATATTATTAGTAATAACTAAAATAAGATTAGCTTTATTTGTCACACAATTATCCTCTTAACATCCACCTCATTTTGGGAAATTCTCGCCTATTTTGCATACCCAGATAGAAAAGCAAATAACTTAGGAACTGTATGCCCAAATGTGCAATACATTATTTAAAAGCTAAAACCGTCTAGTTTCTGAATATATAAATCAAAATTGGGTGAGTAGAACACAGACCAAGCTGCATCAGTTCAAACACGTTTTTTTTATTCTCGAAAATAATAGGTATTTTTTGAACAGTAGCAATAAAGACATGCTTGAGAAAAGTCAGGTCTCATTTGTTCTACATCATGTCAGCTACAAATGCAGAACATTTCAGAGCTCTAGCTACAAGAGTTCCAGAGCTGTGGGGCTTTGAACTTTTGGTGTCACTAACACTCCAAATGTGCCAAATGCTTTTACTATGCTTTGCACGAACATGATAAAGCCAATGGCGTAATGACACAACGATAGGCCCATAAGCAACATTATCTGGGTGGGCTCCATTTTAAGTACAACTACTTCTATCCTTTTTCTTTTCTGGAATCCGCTTAAGTATCTCTTTTTGGTATCCGTCGTTGCTAACACATTGTACGTAACGGTTATGGTTTTAATCTGCGCTCTGGATTACCCATAATTCCAAGTCGTATTGTAAAAAATAAAATACTCAAATACATCGTACTTTTAAGATCTTTATTACGGTTTGAAACATATTATATGAGTGTATTTTTAGCAAGGTGGGCTAATGTTAGCAGGGTGTTGGCAAGGAAGGTAAGCCTGGTGATAGCAAGGCACGTTAATGTTAGCATGGTCATAGCAAGGCACGTTAATCTTTGCACGGTGACAGCAAGGCGGGCTAATTTTAACATGGTGATAGCAAAGTGAGTTAATTTAAGCATGGTGATACAAGCGGGCTAATGTTAGCATTCTTTCAAGGTTGATGTAGTCTTTTCTGATGTGAAAATAAAAATAAACCACTTTCACACTCGGGATTATTCAGCAGATTTGAACATAATTCTAACACGGTCACAAATCATGATGTGAAAAGGTCTGATTTTTGAGGAACTCTTCATTCAGTTATATTGTTAGTTGTAGAAATGGGAAAACTGGTGATATGCAGTGGTAAAGCATAACCTGATGCTGTATTCATATAAAAAACCCCAGAAAAACAAGGCTCAAGAACCGTGCCCTGAGTTACCCCACATGTGATCTTCCTTCTTTTAAATATTTACAACTACAAACCGACACAAATCTGTCAGCCAGACAAGATATGAATCCATTTAGCCTTCCAGACCGTAAACTATGATCAACCTTCTGGATTTATTTTGGTATATTTCAGCCATTAAACTTTAGTTTTTTAAATACATTTTTCAAATCTAGTTGAACATTGGCCTCAAACAATCTCTGGTAAATCGTATTTGCTGTTTCTATAAAGCTGGGAAAACCAGACAAACATGGACGTCCCCTGATTATAAGATTTGAATGAAAATCGTTTTTTAAATGTGCTTTTACAGTCTGTTCATTGTACATAAATAAGCCAAACAGCAGCAGCTGGTATTTAGTAGGCCTATCTGTGTATTGTCACACATTTATATTTAGACCGCCTTCACTCTCAGTCGTGATAAGTGTTGCTGGGCTGACGGTGGCCTCAGTGGATTGAGTTGTGTGTTTCGTGTCAGCGTGGAAGAAGACTTGCTGACTTGGGTCTTTCTATTCTCTGTACCTTATTTGACTCTGTGATAGACGAGGGTGAAAAGGGGGGGGGGCTGAAAGGGAAAGTCTTGCCGTCTGTTAAAAAAGCTTTTCATTGTGTTCAATTTGATTCATTTTTCTGTGGTTCTGTTGCTTTTTCCCTATAAAACTCAAATCCTTTACCATATTTGGAAATAAATATGTTTTATTGAGGCTCGGCGTACATACAGTATTAAAAGCCTCAGTTTGAAAGTTTTTTATTAAGTTCATTTTACAATGAATTTGTTGAAAATGTTTTAAAAAGTGTTTTTTTTTAGTTGTCTTCTGATTTAAGAGAAACACTGTTACAAAACTCTACCTGTTTCTCTGTCTGTCTGTCTGTCTGTCTGTGTTGTTCTGTCTCTTTTGTTTCTCTGTCTGTCTCCTTGACCTGTCTGCCTGTTTCTCTGTCTACCTGTTTCTCTGCCTGTCTCTCTGTCTGCCTTTTTCTCTGTCTGTATGTCTCTCTCTCTGTCTGCCTGTTTCTCTTTCTGCCTGTTTCTCTGTCTGCCTGTTTCTCTGTATGTCTTTCTCTCTGTCTGCCTGTTTCTCTGTCTGTCTGTTTCTCTGTCTGCCTGTTTCTTTGTCTACCTGTTTCTCTGTCTGCCTGTTTCTCTGTCTACCTGTTTCTCTGTCTGCCTGTTTCTCTGTCTGTATGTCTCTCTCTCTCTCTGTCTGCCTGTTTCTCTCTCTACCTGTTTCCCTGTCTGCCTTTTTCTCTGTCTGTATGTATCTCTCTCTGTCTGCCTGTTTCTCTTTCTGCCTGTTTCTCTGTCTGCCTGTACAGCATAGCCTGAAAAGTTATCATATTAAAACAGTTGTTATAAACTTTTGATCAGATCTTTGTGTCCAGGAACAGTTCATATAAATTTCCTAATGATCCAGTTTATATTTGAGGTCCAGCTTTAGGTCAGAACATGTGGAGGATCTGCTGCCTGGCAGACGTCTGCCTTCTCTGACTGCTTCTCTAGTTTTTCTGATTTTATTGTTTTATTCTGTGCTTTAAAAACATTTAGATTTCTTCACCAAATCAACAATAAGCCATTGATTATTTCATTTTTTCTGTATGAAAAAAAGCATGAATCCTCATTTCAAACATAAAAGATTTTTATTATCTTTACCTTAAACATGAAAACCTGACAGCGTCCAAATCTCTGATAGACAAAGAACTAGGGAATAAATGCATCAGTTGTTCTTCTTTTGCTGACAGTTTGGTGTCAGCAGGGTGGATGTTCTCTGACGTCCATCATAACCCAACACAACCTGAGCAGAAATGTCTCATTTTACAGCTTTAGCACCAACAAAAAAAAAACATGTCAACAATAAATTTGTATGTTTTCCCATTTAAGCGTTTTTTTTTTTTTCCTCCTCACATCACAGGCGGGTAATCATCAGCACAAGGCCAGTGTGTACCATCTGATGGTGACACCCTCACCTCAGATTATGCTGCTGTCAACACATTCCCAGGTTGTCGTCACTCATCTTTCAGATTCCCGTTCAGGGGGGGGGCTGATTGTGTTGATAACAGACTGCTGTTGCACTAAACTGTGCATCATCATTTTTTTTTTCCTGGCGTGCGGAGGAAGTGGCGGAGGGCTGGGTCAAAACTGTTATCACCCTATCATATCTCTGACAGCTTCCTGTCAAAATCAGGTCGCGGGAAGAGATGCAAGGAAGATCCTGCGATGCTGACAAAGCCGAATCGCTCCCCCCTTTTATTCTGCCTTCTCTCTGTCTGCCTTATTTAGCAGTTTTAACTCTCTTTGCCACTTAGCATATGCTTAATGGGACTGATGATGGTAGCTGGGGTTGGAGGAGAAAAAAGGAGGTGGAAGAGACTCCGAGCCACGGTGTTTGCAAAGAACCTGAAAAGTTGATGAACTGTCAGCGTTCTGACAGTGAGGGGGGGGGGATGCAGCTCTGCTGTCTGATGAGTCGCTACGGTAACAGGAAGGACAGGGACAAAGAACAGACAGTGATGTGAGGATGACTGCTTTTCCATCCATTCATCCCTCCCTCCCTCTCCTGTCTCTGTGTTCCCTCCAGATGTTGGGGAAGACTTGGGGAAAGCGGCGGTGAGCCTGCAGCCGCCTCCATCCCAGGTCAGGGAACGAAGCGTGGGATCGTCCTCCAAAGACTGCCCCTACTGCGGCAAGTCCTTCCGCACCTCCCATCACCTCAAAGTCCATCTGCGGATACACACAGGTCAGTACGCTCTGACGCACAAAATTAAACATTTATTGTGCTTCATGCAAAATTTACTTCTCCACTCGTGCTGACATTTCTTCTGGGGTTAGATTGACGTATCGGTCCTGAACGTTGGCCTAATCAGATATTTGACTCAATGTTATATGATGGATATGAAGCACATTAATCAATGATATACTTTAGAAATTAGAACACAGAAATAATCAAGGAAGGAAGGAAGGAAGGAAGGAAAGAATGAAGCGAGGAAGGAAGGAAGGAAGGAAGGAAGGAAGGGAGCGTGGGAGGAAGGAAGGAAGGAACAGAGGGAAGGAGGGAGGGAGGGAGGGAGCGAGGGAGGAAGGAAGGAAGGAAGGAAGGAGGCAGGGAGCGAGGGAGGAAGGAAGGGAGGAACAGAGGGAGGGAGGGAGTGTGGAAGGAAGAAAGGAAGGAAGGAAGGAACAGAGGGAGGGTGGAAGGAAGGAAGGAACAGAGGGAGCGAGCGAGGAAGGAGGGAAGGAACATAGGGAGGGAGGGAAGGAGGGTGGAAGGAAGGAAGGATATAAGGAAGAAAGGAAGGAAGGAGCACAGGGAGGGAGGGAGGGAGGGAGGGTGGAAGGAAGGAAGGAAGGAACAGAGGGAGCGAGGGAGGAAGGAAGGAAGGAACAGAGGGAGGGAGGGAGGGTTTGAAGGAAGAAAGGAAGGAAGGAAGGAAGGAAGGAAGGAACAGAGGGAGCGAGCGAGGAAAGAGGGAAGGAACAGAGGGAGGGAGGGAAGGAGGGTGGAAGGAAGGAAGGAAATAAGGAAGGAAGGAAGGAAGGAGCAGAGGGAGGGAGGGAGGGTGGAAGGAAGGAAGGAACAGAGGGAGCGAGAGAGGAAGGAAGGAAGGAGCGAGGGAGGAAGGAAGGAGGGAAGGAAGGAACAGAGGGAGGGCGGGAGTGTGGAAGGAAGAAAGGAAGTAACAGAGGGAGCGAGCAAGGAAGGAGGGAAGGAACAGAGGGAGGGAGGGAAGGAGGGTGGAAGGAAGGAAGGAAGGAAGGAAGGAAGGGAGGGAGGGAGGGAGGGAGGGAGGAAGGAAGGAAGGAAGGAAGGAAGGAAGGAAGGAAGGAAGGAAGGAAGGAAGGAAGGAAGGAAGGAAGGAAGGAAGGAAGGAAGGAAGGAAGGAAGGAAGGAAGGAAGGGAGGGAGGGAGGGAGGGAGGGAGGGAGGGATTGATGCTGATTGATGCTCCTCAAAGATGGAGTCAGAACTTCAGGATCCTCCTCCCTCCCTACGTCCCGCTGGGCCTTTAATGGCGGCTCCTCCTCAGGGAAAGAGATCAGTAACCTGAACCTGATCAAACCGGTTATTGAGCAACACATCAGGATTCTAATCAACAGCTGTCACCTAAACAGCAGTTATAAGGTTAACACCTCAACTAATTACTAGGAAATGATCCTAAAAGTTCTCACACGCTCGCCTCATTACCACCATGACGGGTCCTGAGCCATGTTTGGGAACCCCCGGCCTGGGACCTGGCCATATTAGTTTCAGGAGGAGAAGAAGAAGAAAACCTCTATGGTCAGCAATGATCCACATTTTCACATTTTCTAGCCTTACATGTTTGAAATGTTTCATCAGGAAATTAATCTTCAGACCAAATGAAAGCTAAATGAGAGCAACAATAAATGCTGTCGGAGGTTCAGATGTGTTTGAGTTTCCTGACATAACAGCCGGGCCCCCCTTTGTTTCCACAATAAAAGCACATATTGATCTGAGGCTGAAGAAAATCTTCAACCTGTAACATGCTAACACGTCCAGCAGCACTTACACAATTCGATTTCTTAAGTTAAACAGCATGAGCAGGGCCCGCTATCCCAGCAGCTCTTACCTTAGAGAGCTGAGTTATGTCTGCTTTGAGGAGCACGCTGCAGTAAGAAGACCCCTGAGGGCCGTATTTCATCCTCACCTCCACCTCAGCCTCCTGTTTAGGAAAACACTTCTAGATCTCATCGCATCTACTCTATATTTCACATCCCCTCTTTCGTATTTAACCCCTTCAGCCCAGCGGGCGTGATACAGGGCCCAACTGACACCTGCTCATGTTTACCTATTTATAGAAATGACCAAAACACAGTCACATGGTGTTTCATCCACACGCCTTTCAAATGGGGCTTTACAATTTCTAAAACATGTTTTAAAAGAACTACTTTCTCAGGTACTTTTTGTTTTATAGCTGTGTAAACATAATGAGATTTAAAATTCCCCCTGACATGTGTGACTCTGCAGGAGTAATGCAACAGGTGTTCATTTTTAGCCACGCCCCCTAATGGCCGCCATCATTGGAAACTACACTGCAGAAACCATCTAGAAATTAGCAAAAATTGTCTTAAAGTGTATTTAGCCTTAATTTGAGTTAGTAAATAAGATAGTTTGCCAAGAGAATGAGTATTTTTACTCTTAAAATAAGATAATTAGATAATATACACTTGAAATAAGACAATGTAATTGTTTTTTCTTATTTAAATGTAAATTGTCTTCCAGTGTAATAATGCACACTGGAAAAAATCGAAATCTAGATAAGTCATTTACACTTAGAATAAGAAAAAACAATTGCATTGTCTTATTTCAAGTGTATTTTATCTAAATATCTTAATCTAAGAGTAAAAATACTCATTCCATTGGGAAAATATCTAATTTACCTACTCAAATTAGGATAAAAACACTTAATTTAAAATTTTTTAAAGTTATTTCTAGATAGTTTTTTCAGTGTAAATCAGCTTTTTTGTCTTACCTACTAAAATTTAGGGTAAATACACTTGATTCAAGAAATGTTCTACTTATTTCTTGATCATTTTCAGTGTTTCTGTTAAAAAAATACTAACATTTGTGTTTCCATCGTATAGTTTTGGAGCTTTACATATGTGATTTCAGGCAGAGGTTGTTCCTAAGGCCCTCGGGGCTTAAGGGGTTAATCATTAGGTGAAACGGAGCTGGGAAACTTCAGTGAGGATGTTGTCCTTTTCTCCAGGAATGTATCCTTGGATACGGGCCTGTTTAAGCACAGCTTTAACAGCATCCCTTCCACACACCAGGAGACAGAAACACAGACGCTTGATGCATCCCCAATATGTGGCCTTTAAATCATTCCTCCCCTTCCACGCTAATCGGAGCGGCTCCATTATCGCCGCCAGATGACTTCTGCGGCGGCTGAGGATCCGCTCGCCGCTCCGCTGACAATGCGAGTAAAATTCACAGATGACAGCCCGAGCTCTCGTTAGCTTAATGCAAAGTGACTGACACAATAGAGTTGCTTACCGAGCTGGCCGAGGCGAGATTAATGGGCGGCTAACGCCGGCTTGAAAGGAACGCAGTGAATTTAAATTCCTCAAAAAGTTAAAGAGCTAATGTTACAGTATTAATTTCCTCTTGAACATGGAGTGGGAAAATATCCATTAGCAAAATTAAGCAGAGTTTTCTAGGTAGCTAACATTGTGGCACTACAGTGTGGGGCCAGAGCTAATGAACACACTGCAGAGGGGTGATATTTCATTATACAAATTAATGCTCACATTTTAATGGGAAAGTCACATAATGAATCTAGGCTTCAGTGACAGCAATTAGAGGCCCAGATTGTCCCCTTCTGGACAAGGCACTATTTAGCAGTAAGCAGCTGTGTGTGGAAAAATAAATAAATAATAAAAAAAAAAGACCTGGCTCCTGACAATAGCTTCACATAACTTCAGGCCGGAGCACGCAGCCAATGAGAGTCTGTGGCTGCTTTAAATGAGCGCAGGGAGAAGAAGAAGAAGCATGACTCGCCGTGTCATTTAACCTTAACCTAACCTTGTAATCAGGATGAATCAAGAGGGACCCCTGATCTCCGTCTCTCCCCCCTCATCCTTCCATTATCTCTCTCCCAAAACAGTTTTTTTTGTGCATTTTTTCCATCTTTTTCTCCAATCTTTTCTCTTCAGTGTCTTTAATACAGCAGCAGATTTAATTTCGCCCTGTAGAGTCACTTCATCTCCAAACGTCCCCCTGCGCGTAAAGCTTCCCTTTTATGCTGCGATTCTCCCTCTTTAATAATTGAACACTTGGTCCTGGCAGTATTAGAAACACCGACCAGATTACTGCTAACAGAGAGATGCTAACATGATGAGATTTATTTGGACAATAAAGCCTAAATGAACTCATTTAGATATTCAGGAAACTCGTTTTCTGTTTTTTTTTTTTTTCCAGGGAACTTTCTTAAGAGGAGACAGAAAAGTGATGAAGACTGTGAGGCACACTGGAAAAACAATCTAGAAATAAGTAAAAATTTCTTAAATTAAGTGTATTTATCGTTAATTTCAGTAGGTAAATGAAATATTTGCCACTGGAATGAGTATTTTTACTCTTGAAATAACATATCAAGATAAAATGCACTTGAAATAAGATTCTTAATTTCTTATTCTAATTGTAAATTATCTTGTTCCGTGGGCAAAATGTCTCCTTTACCTCCTTAATTCAACAAAAAATGCACTTATTTTAAGAAAAATTACTTATCTAGATTTCAGTTTTTTTTCAGTGCAGGTTCGCCAATCTTTAAAATCTACGGCGTCATAAAACCACTTTAGTAGTCAGTACCTTACCATTTCACTTAAAGTTTGGTCAGATCGGGTCTCTGTCATCAAACAGACCAAAAAAACATTTAAACGGACAGAGCTTTAAGATATTTGTACATATACATGTATAGAAATGTTCTACGGTTTTTAGCGATGACTCTTCTTCTATGTAAAACAGAAACAGGGCGTGATAAACGCACCAAAGCATTAATGGAAACAAAACCATGCTCACTTTTATTTTCTCATCTTTAGTCTCCAGCAGGAATCAGCTTTAAGAGAGCATAATAAGATTATTTATTTAACTGAGAGAAGTTATTTAGTGTATAAATACATTTTAATGGGTCGGAAATATTTGCCTGTTGTTATTGTGCCAACTCTGAGTTGCATAGCTGTGATATTCATAGAGCGCCGGTGCTCTGTCAGATGAGCATACCCG